TCGGGTACCCCTCAGTTTACTCTATAGGCCCTTGACTTCATCAAACATTTGTTGAGCCCCAGCTACGTGCCAAGCACTGTCCTAGATGCTGGAAATACAGAGTCAGTTATGATATGACTCCTGGGCTTGAAGATCTTATGAATGACAGGGGAGACAGAGATAAGCAGACATGCAAGTCAATGATGACACAGAGGCCGGGGACGGTGGCTGAGGCCTGTAGTCCCAGCACTTTGAGAGGTCGAGACGGTGGATTGCTTGAGGCCAAGAGTTCAAGACCAGCCTGGCCAACATGGCGAAACCCCATCTCTGCTAAGAATAAAAAAATAGCTGGGCATGGTAGTGAACACCTGTAATACCAGCTACTTAGGAGGCTGAGGCATGAGAATTGCTGGAACTGGGAGGCAGAGGTTGCAGTGAGCAGAGATTGCAGCACTGCACTCCAGCCTGGGCAACAGAGTGAGACTGTCTCAAAAAAATTTTTAAAAAAAATTTAAAAAGTTTAAAGAAAACAACACTGTCGCGTGGTAAGTGTTGCGATTGAAGTAAGTTCTGGGAACCCAGGGGAGGGATCTGCACAGCAGACCTGGCTAGGGGAGGGGGAGATGCAGTGGAAGAGGCTTTCTGAAGGAGCGCATGCTTCATGCTTGGACTGATGGAGGTTTTTGAAGGAAAAGGAAAACCAGCAGGGAATGTGGAATAGGATAGGGAGCATCGAATCAGGAGGAGGTTTTTTTGGATAAAGGTAATGAGTTGGACATACTGAATGTGAGGTGCCTTGGGCAACCAAGTAGAGCTTGGTCTAGCAGACACTTGGACACTCATGTCTGAAGCTCAAGAGAAGTGTTTGGGTTGGAAATAGGGATGCTGGCAATGGTAGTTGCATCCCTAGATTTGGATGAAATGGCTTGGGTGAGGGTGTGGGATGTGAGGATGCAGCCCTCAGGAGTGAGAGTAGGCTCATGCACAAAGCCCCTGAGGGAGACAGGAGCCGGCAGAGCAGTGGGGAGAAAGCAGGAGTGAACCATGCACAGGGTTCCCAGAGGAAGGACCAGAAGCAGGAGGGGCTGGCCACCAGCAGCAGACACCACAGGGAGGTCCCGTCAGATCGACACTGGGTGGGTGCCATGTCAGTCAGTGCGGGCTTTGGCCAGAGCAGCTTGGGCAGACAGGCAGGAGGAGCAGGCAGGTTGCAGACCTGGGGGTGAAGTGGGCAAAGTGCAAGTAGACGGCACTGAAAAAACTGGGTATGGAGGAGGGAGCTCTAGAGGGGCTGTGGCACAGGGCTGCTGGCGTTCATGGTGCTTCTTTTTCTTTTTTAAAGATGAAAGAGTGTACATTGGACCTTTGCTGCTAGTCCCTGTTCCCCTTCAGATCTTCCTTAGTAAAGTTCATTTTCTTGTGAGACCCCTTTGATTAACGTCACGACATCTCTCAGTTCAGGGACTCCTAATTCCACTTCAGTAAACCTCTCCAAACTCATTTTTAGCTTTTTGTTTTTCCGATTATTTCCTTCGATATTACTCCATTTATTCCTAAAGCTATTTTCCAGTCAGAAAAGAGATGCCAGCCAGGCGCGGTGGCTCACGCC